GGATTTTTCCCTCACCACATTTTTTTTTCATTTACCTGGGCGCAGAACCCACACGGCAATTTTCTAGGTTTAAATACCGTTAGGTAAAGGATTATGTTGATTTATTCTCATTTATAATCTTAATTTCCTTAATTTTCGACAGTGAAACCGATCCCAACCGTGTTCTGGCCCATTTATTCTCAGTGATCTCGGTATAAATGCTGTCAGGTGTATAGTGAATGTTCATTTATTTTTGATTCGACAGTAAGAGTAACACTGGTTTTTACCGTCGGGCAGCACTCAACTCCCTCTTTTACTGATGGAAATGCATTTTCATTTGTTATAGCAACAAATTTCATATCTTCTAGGTCACCCCCCCACGTTGCAACAAATGCGTTGCAACTGCCTCCCTTTATTGAGAATGGTTGATCTATCACTGGCCAAACAGGTCTGACTGAAATATACAAGCAGGGAAATGATGAAATAAACTCGAAAGAAACGAACAATCTCTAGCTACTGGAATTTCAACAACAGAAAATGACACGGAGAATGCAATGGATGTCAAATTAGTAAAGCTTTTGGTTTTACCCCATTGTCGCACAGTCTCCCCCACTGTAACCCTTGTTGCATTTAATTTTGATCAGACTGAAACTCAATGACACCTTTTAGTTAATCCCTGCCTCATTGACCCTAAGTTTAATATCGGACTTTGGAATAACAAAAATAGCACGGCAAAAGTCACCATTACATAGTCAAGTGTGTCCCTTTTCGAACTCAAATAGAACACTGCCAAAATGTACCCATCATTTCTCAAAATTTGATAAAAATGAAAAACAATACTGACCATGAAGGACGGCATGAGGGACACCGTAAGTTGTTTCTGTTCGAAAATGGGCCCTTCACATTAACAAAACACATTAATTTGCACAGTTACGGGCAGAAATGAGATGGTGCATCGTCCAGGATGCACTCCTGCAAAACAGTTGTGACTGTACACGGATAATGGATAATATCTTGCTTTTTCTTGTTAATACAATTTGCCCGAAATTTGTCTATACTTAACAGTCGGCTGTCATTTCCGTTTCCCACAAACAACGCCAGAAAAAAACGCCAATAGACTTGGTACTAGACACATTGTTGGGTCTATGCGCACCGTCCGCGCTCAGCTGGACGTGACATTGACCAGGTAAGTGGGTTGGAGGCTGGAGAGCGTTATGTTCAACAATTTTGTCAGAGATTGTAGTTCTTAGCCCTTTGTGAATTTTCCCACCCAGTATAGCACTCTTGATCACAGTATGTAAGTAAAATCATCAAAATGCAATGGTCTCACGAGCCTTAACAGTAAGTGACAAACGAGTAGAACTTGAGACTGTCTTCCAAATACTGGCCAAGTTGGATTAATGATCATTATGTTGTCGACCTTAATGTTTATGATCAAACTTGCTCACAGATACGCAAGGATCCTGAAGTAGCTTTCGTAGAGCAGGATCCCATCGTCCGTGCTGATGGGTCGCATCTTGGGGTCTGGACCGGGTAGACCAGAGGAAACTACCCCTAGACGACAAGGCCGAGTTTGAAGACTGGAATTACAGCAACAGTCCATGTATTCATCTTTCCACATGTTCATTTTCTGTATTCTGCGCAAACATGGCATTTTCGAACCGCTGATGAGGTCGGAGATGATAATGCAGGGCAGTGCCTAGACACAGAGCAATTCCATCAATACCAACATCATACCAACATCATACCAACTCCTCTTTCCTATTCCTGTGCTTTCATTTCCAGTTGAAACCTTTCAATTGGTCCTGGTTTTTTAAGGTAGGGTTAGGCTGCTGTGGGGTGAATTTGACGGGTAGGGTAAGGTTTAGGGGCTACGGTTAGGGTTAGGCCTGAGGCTAGGCCGACCGTCGAATGAATCTAACGGGTAGGGTTAGGGTTAAGCTGTTGTGGGGTGAATTTGACGGGAAGGGTAAGGTTTAGGGGCTACGGTTAGGGTTAGGCCTAAGGCTAGGCCGACCGTCGAATGAATCTAACGGGTAGGGTTAGGGTTAGGCTGCTGTGGGGCAAGGGTTAGGCCGACCGTCGTATGAATTTAACGGGTAGGGTTAGGGTTAAGGCTAGGGTTAGGGTTAGGGCTAGACCGACAATCGGATGAATCTAACGGGTAGGGTTAGGGTTAGGCTGCCATGGGATGAATTTGACAGGTAGGGTAAGGTTTGAGGGCTAGGGTTAGGCCTTAGACTAGGCCGACCGTCGGATGAATCTAACGGGTAGGGTTACGGTTAGGGCTGGGGTTAGGGTTAAAGCTAGACCGACCATCGGATGAATCTAACGGGTAGGGTTAGGGTTAGGGTTAGGGTTAAGGCTAGGCTGACCATCGGATGAATCTGACGGGTAGGGTTAGGATTAGGGTTAGGGTTAACTGGTGGGGCAAGGGTTAGGCCGACCGTCGTATGAATTTAACGGGTAGGGTTAGGGTTAAGGCTAGGGTAAGGGTTAAGGCTAGGTTGACCATCGAATGAATCTAACGGGTAGGGTTAGGGTTAGGCTGATGTGGGAAGAATTGGACAGGTAAGGTTAGGGCTAGTTTTAAGGCTAGGTCGACCGTCAGATGAATCTAATGGGTGGGGTGAGGGTTAGGGTTAAGGCTAGGCTGACCATCGGATGAATCTAACGGGTAGGGCTAGGATTAGGGTTAGGGTTAACTGCTGGGGCAAGGGTTAGGCCGACCGTCGTATGAATTTAACGGGTAGGGTTAGGGTCGAGGCTAGGGTTAGGGTTAAGGCTAGGCCGACCGTCGGATGAATCTAACGGGTAGGGTTAGGGTTAGGCTGATGTGGGAAGAATTGGACAGGTAAGTTTAGGGCTAGTTTTAAGGCTAGGTCGACCGTCAGATGAATCTAATGGGTGGGGTGAGGGTTAGGGTTAGGCCCAACGCTGTATGAACTTAATAAGACCATTCCATTGTTTATACTTTTCAAAGTCATCAAATTTAAGACTTGAAGGTCTGTTGAAAAATGACAATAAGCGGGATGGAGGGGGCAGTAAAGTTGATCCCCACCGCCTTGATCCATGCCTGACGGCGTCTGTCGAATACACACACCAGTATGGTGGCTTGATTGGACGAGGGAGGCTGGACTGACAGACGTTGACGGACTGAGGACAGTTGGAAAACTCGATACTGATAATATCTCAGCAGGTACAATTGTGGCACAGATCTCTTTTTTATGTAGCGAATATCTAAGGATGGGGGAGGGGGAAATGAGGCTGATGCCCCAAAAGGGGCGAAAAGATTTTTGAAAGAAAAGCGGTTAGGCTACGTGTAGTTTGGGTCCGCACGTATTTCATGTCTCTTCAAAAAGCGTGAATGTAAAATGCCCCTAAACGTAGCGTTAACCCTCAGAAAGAAACAAAAAAATTACATGAAGCATTTCCTCATTTTGGGCCTCCCTCCAAACATGTCCCCGAAAACTTGTTCTGGATCCGTCCTTGTGTTAAGCCACACCCACCTTTTTTCAAATTCCCGTACAACTTTGTGAGGAAAAAAAGTCACATTCACGCTCGCATTCCAAGCATGACTTCAAGTTTTGTGTCCTGTTCTTTTGATGTTTAAATTTAGTGTTAATGTTTAAATTCAGTGAATGAGAAACAATCCAGGAGTTGACATCAATGAATATTTGGTGTCTTGATTTCTGCTTCCTAATATGTCCATCTCTAGAATGGTTTCATTTGAGGATTGTTCTCTCTGAGTGCTTGAAATTAATTAATGGTGCAGTGTTTCGCCGGCAAACATCATAACATTTCAGTCCTTTGGATTTTTCGATGAAGTTTTGGATCACGTTTTAGGTTTATAATACCCCCTTCCTATTATGAAGAGCCTGACACGTGGTTGTTTCTTTTTAACAAGTGATATCTACACCAAGTGGTTTACTCAAGTTCCCGGATTTAATTGAATGTTTTGGATTTCTAGTTTATGGTCTGACCCTGATACATGACATTCGTCAACGTAAAGTAGGTGCAGGAACGCGCAGTACAACCGCCGAGTCCGCCTGCGGCTCGGTACAAAATCACATGTACCGATATCACCTGTGTTCAGGTTCGATCAGCGACGATTTGTTAACCTCGGGCCGATTTTGCCTAATGCATAGGTTAGCAGTCAAAACACGATTATTGTTGACAATGTGCCGTTGACGGATTGAACTTGCCTTGTCCGGTTCTAAACTACACTACTGGTGGTTTAGACCTGCTCTAACACAATTGTATTCCTGACCTATTAAATAGTATTGATATACTTGTTACAACTTTCAGTAGCAACACCTAAAAGAGGCGGTGTTTCGGAATTATCCCGATGTACTGTTCTTGCAAGTAATTATCGTTGCTATACTAGAACATAACTTTCACGCAGAATTTGCATATTTTTAATACCCAAGCTTGTAGGCCAAAAGGTTTACTTTCCCCATTGAATGTACTTGACCAGGTCGATTTGCTCAGGGGTGTGATTTAGAAATGCTCAGAACAGCAAAAGCCTTTTCTGGATTGAATTGTCTTTACTGACTAAGTATTAAAACACAGAACAGGCGAAATCTGAGGAGAGGAAACTGTCGGGCTGTGAGAAAGTTTAAAAAAAAACCCAGCATTTTCGGGTCAAATTCATTTGAAAATTTTCATGTACTTTAATGAAATTCATACAATACATAAAGAAGCTTCTAAATGGTCTTCATTTATTTATTTATTTCTGATTTTTATAGAAGCTAAATATTTATCACAGAACACTGAGTTTGCAAGAAAACATGGTGACTTTTTTCAAGAAAATGAGAAATAAAACGACACATTTAGCCTGTTTGGAGAACAGTTTATTTTTGTCGGACGAACCATTAGCAACTGTAAACATGCAATGATTCTCTTGTCTTTGCGTAAAAACATTCCACACATTCGAAGAGAAAAAAATTGTACAGCAGGAAATCCAATCAAAGATGGTGTGCAAATTAATGGAAGACGGCTAACTAGTTGACGGGAGGCACGTTGCCTCCTCTGCGGAAGCCCACGCCCCCTTTTGAAATTTACAATAAACATATCAAATGTAAAAGACTCAGTTGATTTTCTTTCAGTGCTCTTCTGAAATCCACCCCAGTTGCAGCATTGGTATATAATTAGACAAATCAACTCATGTACAAGAGGCCCAATGGATGTAGACGCACTGTTTAAGTTCTTTGAAAAGTCACTTTACATTAATGTCGAAGCAATTCCACCTAATGAAAATTAAGATAGGAAGCGTATAAAACTACTATTCAAATTTACAACAAAATGAGCAAAACTAATTCATGATGTTCTTTTGGACGCTAGGCAGACACATATAAATACTGCAGACAACGATCTAAGAAACCCAACACCGTCTTGTAGATACGAACGGTCATACGTAAAACAGAAAAGACAGCACGACAACCTGATATCGATCCAAACATCTCAAAAATATGTGGTGCATTTAAAGGTGTTTTTGCTTTCACACACACACGCATGTGTGGATTTGCCGGCAACTGGGGACCCCCTATTGTTCCTCTTTTGTTTGTACTTCAACTTTTTTACAAGACCACCCATATGTTTTGTACACAGTTGTCAATCGGGGACTTTATTGTCCTCTATTGTTCAGGGTCCCCAGTTGAATGCAGAAACAAACTCACCCACACACATAAAGCACAATCAAAAACCCTAACAAACAAATAACAAAAGCAGCGGTGGTTCATTGGATGCATCAATATTAGAGATAACAGACAATGTTATTAAGACCACATTGAGTTTGGGGGGCTGAGTTTCAATTTCAAAAACTGATATGTCAAATTTGAATTCATGCCTTCAAAAAAATCGCAGACTATGGTTCATGGGAGAAAACATCAGCTTTTGGCTTTTCTCAGCTTTGTCAAATTATCTTGTCATTAGCTTTGTTTTGTAGATGCTAACGCATGCACACTTAATTAACGGCCACGTGACACAGTAGACCATAGCGAGGCACAATTTATACCTTACGATACAGCTTCACTACAGATCCCTCGACGACAATCAGCCTCCCGTCCCGCGTGAAGTCCACCTCCCTCGGGTAGTTCAAACCCCTGACCACGCAACCTAGGTGCCTGCCGCCAGGCCCGAATTCATGCACCTGACCATGGCGCTCGGAAGCCTTGGGGTCACTGATGTAGAACGGAATGAAGAGGGAACCGTCGGGCCCGAAGCAGCCTCCCCAAGGAGAGACCATGTTGGAAGGGTCGATGCTCTTGGAAGCAATGGAGAACAGAGTGTCACCGGTGGCTACGCTCAAGATGTCCACCCGCTTGGAAGAGTGATTGGAAACCATGATGCGGCCATTGTTATCCACTGCGAGATATACCGGCTGGTTGGCCACATTGAAACTTCTCACGACCTGACAGTCAACAATGATGTAGATCAACTTTTCCTGTACGTCACCTAGGTAAACGGTACCCCCGGCGTCCACAGCTAGGCTCCAGGGGTTCTTGGCCGGCGTGAGGATGTAGTTGAGGTAGCCGCCGTTCCGGTCGTACACGTCAACGTTGCTAGTTTTGCCGACAATGAGGCATCTCCCGTCTGGGAGGAACGCCACGTCGCGGTCCCCGCGTTCGGGCTTTCCGCTTGCCTTGCCAGTCATGCTGAGCTTGTATGTGCCGTCGGTGTTGTATACGGTGGTCCGGTTGTTCCGCTGCTCTGCGATGGCCATGTCCCCGTCGGGGCTCAGAGCGACACCACGTGCGCAGTTGAACTCGCCGACACGCGAGCCAAACTTGCCGAATTTTAAGTCCAGGCACCACTGCTCGTCCTCCAATAGATCTCCCAAATGCAAGTTGAATGCGGGGGTCTTCTCCGGGCTAAACTTCAAGAACCCAAGGTTATCGATCACTTCGATGCTCGGCAGTGGGTGATATTGCAATCGATCCTGACCGGCTTTAATCTTCCGGTGCAACGCCAAGATAGTCGCGTCGTCTTTATCCTCAATATCGCCCATTATTTTTGGCACGACGTCTCTGACTTCGTCCAGGACTCCCTGCATCTCCGCCAGGAGCCTCTTGATTTCTGCCTGCCTATTGCCGGCGATAAACTCCACTTGAAACAAGAGCTGTTGCTGCTTTTTACGCACGTCAGCGATCATCGCCTCTGTAGCTTTCTCGATGTTTTCCCTCGCCCTCGTGACCGCAACAGAGATGTCCACCCCTCTCTCTTCCACGACCTGCATGGTTTGTTCGTACTTCTCTCGTTCTCTCTCGAACAGGCCCACCAGTTCCCTGATTCGCGCTCTGGGCCCGCCGGCGACATTGTCAATGTCGGATACGGTGTGCTTCGGAGGATTGTGGCCGACGACGGTGCACTGCCGACACACCGGGAGCTTGCACTCCACGCAATAGAGCAGAAGCGCCTGGCCTGGATGGGCTAGGCAGGCTGTGCCCGGTGGCCGCACCGTTTTGGGCGGGGGCAAAGGCGAAGGCTCGATGGCTTCTTGTCCTACCTCGACACTATTGGGATTCAGGCTGGCCACAGCGTCGGCCATGCCTCGTGCAAGGATGTTAGGCTTGAGGGCGGCAATCCCTGCAGACGGTACGGCCGTGTGCTGCTGACACAGGGGACATTTGATGAACTGTTGAGATAAACCAAAAAGCGGTATTAAAAAAATAAAATTAAGTAAAATGTGAAAAATACAAGTTTAGTAACCCATCCGTATTTTCGACAAATAATGTAGCATTCAGGCTCTTCTGTTCAAGCGAGTAAAGATGATAGCAATATTTAAAATAACTAAACTATCAAACAATTGGATTATGTGATGGACTTGTCCTGGGAGGTAACCAATTCTAAAAAGTAGTAATTTGTCTAAAGAAACCCTAACATTTTCGCATCTCGACTGTCATTTGAGGAATTTCTCTTGACAAAATAGTTTTCTGCAAGCACGTCTCTTTTTGTCGTTTCTCTCCCCAAAACATCTCTAGAATCGTGATTTAGAAAGGAGAAATAACATTCATTTCAAACTTGGGATTCGATTACTCGAATTAAATGAGGGAAAATATTTGGGGGGGAAGCGATTTGAAAAATATCGGAACCTGTATTCACTAGATCCTAGAATCCCTCTGCCTTAGTTTCTCTCACAAGTAAAACGTTTAAAACTGTCCCTGAATCATAAATCCACAATGTGAACTTCCCCTGGGAACATTTTTCTTACAACGTGTTACTTTCCTCCTAGAGGCCGGTTCATACTTCAGGTGAATGCGACGTTACGAAAATTTGCAGAAATATTGTCTCAGTCGGTTCACTGTAATTCAACTTAAACTGAACGCTAATTTCTCTTTTCGACAGGAAAGCAAAATCCGGCTTCAAGGTTAGAACCTGCTTGTCTGATTCATTCAGACAGAGCAGAAGGACTAGCATTCAGGCATAGAAGTAAAGTCCCGGGGGATGGGAGTATATACTTCCTCCCCTTTTCCGGGGGAGGGACGGCTTTTAAATCATTCCCCACTTTTCCATCAACCGAAACACGTTCATAGCACTCAAAAGGGGAAAACAATTATAAGACTATCATATTTTCCGTGTAAGGCTCTGCACTATAAGCGTAATACATACATATTTACATCTGTATCATGAACAGCCCCCCTCCGCTTTTAAGTCACCTCCAACCCCCAACCCCCCCCCCCCGTTCCGGCACAAATTCATATCACTGCATGGGGGAGGGCGGAATTTGTGACGTCAGGTACCTTCTTGTTTGACTCGACCAATCTGCGAATGCACAGCGCACAGAATGTGTGTGAGCAGTCCAGTATCCTGGGATCCCGAAGAATCTCCATGCAGACGCCACACTCTAACTCCCGCGACAACGGTTCGATAGCAAAGGCCGCCATGGCAGTCGAGTTACAACTCGGCGAAATCTCTTCAAAATGGGATACGAAAAAAAAAACTCAATTTGAGTTGAATTGGCAAACGTTAGTAGTTTAGGAGACTGTGAGACCCCCTTTTCCAGCTGTGCTGTGTTGACATTGAATTGATTCGGCTGCTGGTAGAAACTGGATTTGGCAGTCGTTGGATAAGGTCTCAGACTGCGCTCTTTTCTTTATATTCTGCACGAGAGCAAGTTAAAAATAGACATGACGGCTCTCACGTGGGTATTAATAAGAATTGTGGAAAATTACGCAGTTGAATCCAAAATGTATCCCTCCATAAGTGACAAAGTACATCCATATAATCCAAATGTACATAATTTACAACTGGAATTATCGGTATGATCAAAGGTTAAGGAGGAGCCTGTGGGTGATTACTGAGGTCACTGATTATTGTCACGAGTCGCGTCCAATACTGTCAGTATAAGACAGATTTTACATTTTTAAAAATCCATTTCGAATTTAATTCTTTCAGCATAATAATAACATGTACAATGAACTGGTGGCTGAAAAGAAGACCCCCCCCCATCCCCATCTAATGGGGGTATTGTGGGTTATTTCAGTTTGAAAGTAGCAACCCATAAGGCTGCTGAACCGAGAAATAGAGGTGTAATTGGTTTCTTCTATGAAGGGCCGGGGCACGCTTCTCATCTCGGCGAGTCCAAAATGGTGCTCTCAAATTTTCAAAGTCACTGTCACACCGGCCCCCATTTCCTAGATCGTTCCCTCGCCGCTGGTAACATATACAACCAACGTCCCAACCATAACAGAAACAACATCATGTCAAATGATATTGGTGGCAATTTAGTACATACTTTACTTGGGGAAAGGATGCATCTGGATTTGAAGGCTGTGCTCGGTACTTAAGCTTTGTCGCATAAATTGAACAAGTATGAACAAGTCTGTAGGAAAATGTCAAAATCATTTCTTGTTCCACTATATACTCTTATTCTTATTTATGCAGATCCTCAAATTACGTTTGTTATTTGTTACATGTTTCTGAGTAACTTAGTAACTAATTTCAGTTTTGGAGAAATAGAGGAAATTGAACCAATTGGTGATCGAGAAGTCTCGGCGTAAGCGTGGTGCGTTCGAAGATAGCCTCCCGACTTTCAAGTACAGGTGTCCTATTAAATGTTCACGCTTATCGACTAGGGGCCGTCCATAAAGTACGTACGCACGAAATGCCGACTTTTCGGACCCTCTCCGGCTGTACGCATGGTGTATGCAGTGGCTCCAATCCCCTCCCCCTGTACCATGGTGTACGCAGTGGCTCCAACCTCTTCCCCCTGTACGCATGGTGTACGCAGTGGCTCCAACCTCTTCCCCCTGTACGCATGGTGTACGCAGTGGCTCCAACCTCTTCCCCCTGTACGCATGGTGTACGCAGTGGCTCCAACCTCTTCCCCCTGTACGCATGGTGTACGCAGTGGCTCCAACCTCTTCCCCCTGTACGCATGGTGTACGCAGTGGCTCCAACCTCTTCCCCCGTACGCATACGCATTCCACATATTCTTTTGCCTTCTCAGGGTACCTTGCCTTAGCATCGAGTGTCAAAGTACATGGTACATTTACTGTACGTAGTACTGTCATTCGCACGTAGAAAGTTCCAAATTCTTAAATAAATGAAAAAATAATAACGGGATACTGTATCAATATTTCTTTATTGTTGGCCCTGGAATATATTTCGGCAACTTAAAAAAAGATGTTGAATAAAAGTAGAAAAATAATCCCTGCGCCACCTTTCCTATACATGTAGAGAGCACTGTAACTAACTTGTATAAGCAATTATATTTTAACGATCTGAATTTGCGACTTCTTATATAAAGGTCAGCTACAATCAATTTCGTTTAATGTTAACCCTCAAAGAGCACCTTTCTGTCTCAGTTAACCTTACTTTCAACTTTGTTTCAAGATTTTCAAGGGTTTTTTTATTGCCCTTTTGTGTTCATGCTACGAGCATTTCCATATTCATGGCACAACTGGGATGCTACCACGGGAGAAAGCCTCAGTGCAAGATAGTATTGATAGGAAGAAGCGCACTGATGTATTCACAATAATATTTTACACAACTGCAAATATGACAACAGATCCATATTTTAAAAATTAATAATAACATGACAGGAAAAGGTCTCACTTTTCAACTACATCTTTATAGAGAAGGAATTTACTGTAAAGAGGCACCGTTCACAGGACAGGTCAAGGTGACTGAAGAACTTCACCACAGATCAGATCCACCATTTAACATGTTATTTATTAGCAGAACTGTTGGGGTCCTGGTTCAACCTTCTGCTGTAATTTTGTGCAAGTGAAGAAAACGCCCCCCCCCCAAAAAAAGGGAGAAAAATGGCATGTCGTTCAAATAATTTTATGAAGGAGTTTGTGTGTGTAGGCGTGTGTCCAGACTTGGTCTGGGAACTTGCCCCATTGAAAAATACTAAGGAGAAGCTGTCAGTGAGAAATTTTAATGTTGACCACCATCGTTTCTGTGCATGTGTACTTTTGCTACGTGATGCACTATTGTAGTGTTTTAGTCACTCAGCATTTACACAGAAACATTTTGTGTGGTAAGGTTACATTAATGGTTTTGTTATCTCCTTAATATGAACAGCGAAAAAAGCAACTTCTTTGAAAAGGCCAAATGGTTAAGGTCGCGGTTTTCAGATAGTCAGTCGGTGGGTTCGGATCCCAGTGTTAGCTTTTATTTTCCCAACGCTTTATGTCAGTCAGTAGCTATAAGAGACGCTAAATTCACCCATCAATTACCATCAGTACCTTAGCCTACCGGGTAAGCTCTTCTGCTG